CACCAAGCTAAGGGTTGAGATCCCCTTACCGGTCATCTTTAAAAAAAAAAAAAAAAGAAGGGGATAAGAAATGAATTTTGTCTAGCTGTTGACCTGTGGTAACTTGATTTCCTCATTGTATCCATAATTAAAGTCATTGTTTTTTGCATAGAAATTCTGAGTTCTGGGAGCTTCTGAGTCCTCCCCACCACCCTTCTTTATACTGCTCAGAGTGTACTACTTTGGGGGAGAGGGTCTATATCCCCCCTGTGCTCAGAGTGAGAATCCAGCAGGAAGTGGGTCAAGGGACTTCTCCTGGGGTTACCCCCTCCTGTATATCCCATGGGGGTCCTGCTCACCCAGGACTGTGTGGGGCTGTATACAGGGCACACTCTGGATTCTTCCCAGTGGCGTCTGCTTCTTCATTCATTTTCCAGACATCCCTGTGGTTTGTCTCACTTAGAATCTGTTTTCTCTGCAGGTTGCTTTCACTACCAAAATTTATCACCCCAACATCAACAGCAATGGCAGCATCTGCCTGGACATCCTACGGTCTCAGTGGTCTCCAGCACTGACCATGTCAAAAGGTAGAGACTGACAGCACTCTCCCTGCACCCTGTCACACACGTTTGTATCCCAACGCTGACTGGGCGGCAGTGGAGGCTAAGAAAAAGCAGGCAGTTTCCCCAGGTCACACAGCCCCACCCACCACTGTGCCCACCTAGATGTTCCCACACTGCAGGGTCGCAGCAGTGGCAGAACCCAGTGCTCAGGACCCTGGCACGTCTCAGCAGTCAGTCACTGTGGGGTGCTCAAGAATGTCGCATGGGTGGAAGAAGAAAATATTGATTGTACTTACACTTTTATCTAGAAATAAGAAAGACAAATATTGCATTACTTTCTCTGTTCCCTCATTTCTTCATTCATCCAACAAGCACCAAGACGGACTGTGAGTCAGCTCTGAAGGAAGAGTGCAGGGCTTGACTGCAGGGGCTTGCGATCAGTGGAGAAATCCTCCCTCCCCAGAATAAGTGATATTGAGCACATGTCTCTGATGAGGTTGAAGAAACCTGTCTAGACTGGGCTTTAGAAATGCAGGACTGGGCTTTAGAAATGCAGGCATTCCTTTTGAGCATAGATGGCCTGAGCGTGGGTACAGTGCAACATCCTGTCGGGTGGAGGGCTGGTGAAAATCCACACAAGAAAAGCAGAATACCGGAGCGCAAGAAATAAGCAGAGTGTGGAGTGTGAGGCGGTGCAGGCAGCAGAGCTCCAAGCAGCCCAAGAGGCTACACGGTACCAGGGCAGCAGGCAGAGCTGGGTTTTGAAGGCTAGCAAGGCCTGCAGAAGTGGGCATGGTAGGGCCGGCCCCGTGGCTCACTCGGGAGAGTGCGGTGCTGACAACACCAAGGCCACGGG